ATCAGGGACAGAGACAGACAGGCAGTACCCCATGCATTGCAGACTGTTATCTGACTCTAGAGAATGCAGCTGCTGATCTTCAACAACAAGCTGTTGAAGTTTTGTTTGTATGTCAGTCTCACTGTCTCACATGTGCGTGTGCACCGCCCTTTGTGCATGCAGTCGACTTCTCCTTAAACCAATAGTACATGGCCCCATCCAAGTTGAGAATCACGATTGAGCCTCGCCGAGGAAATTGGAGGCTCTGGGCAACCGTTCTGGAATGGCTGGGCGGCCGTAGCCCAAACTAACACGAAAATGCCAGGCTGGTGTTTCGGCGAAAGCTTGGCACACAGTGGGAATCTGCCTCGTACAAAAGAGGCTCGGATGTACTGGTGGCTTAAACATTAAGAATTTGAGATACCAGTTCGCCTGAAGCTAAGTCGGGCCCTCACCGGTTTACACATTCAGGCTGTGAGCCTGTGACACTTCGGGTCTGGAGGCAAAATTTTATGGGTTCTTACCTTTTTTTTTTCTTTTCTTTTTTGCCTGTTTTTGTTTTGGTTCAAGGTTGGTGCATGCACTGTGTGGGAACTGTCTCTTATACACATCTAGATGTGTATAAGAGACAGGGGCCACATTCGTGCCTGGGACGGGAGGGGGCGGGGCCACATTCGTGCCTGGGACGGGAGGGGGCGGGGCCACATTCGTGCCTGGGACGGGAGGGGGCGGGGCCACATTCGTGCCTGGGATAGGAGGGGGCGGGGGCGGGGGTCGGGGGCCGGGGGGGGGGGGGGGGGGGGGGGGGGCGGGGCCGCTTGGGGGGGGGGGGGGGGGGGGGGGGGGGGGGGGGGTGGGTGGCGGGGTGGGGGGGTCGGTGGTGGTGGTGCCCAGGTCCGGGGGCGGGGGTCAGTGCAGGCCCTGCTGGGGATCTCAGGGTCTCTCTCTCCCTCCCTTTCTCTCTCTCTCTCTCACACACATACACACACATACACACACATACACACACACACACACACACAACCCCGTGGTGGGGGTTGGTGGAGGGGGTGCGAGGGTTGGAAACTGGGGTGGGGGTGCAAGGGTTGGAAACCGGGGTGGGGGTGCCGGTGTCCGGGGGTGGGGTTGCTGGGGTCCGGTGGCGGGGGTGGGGCTGCGGGGGCGGAGGGCGGGGGTGGAGTCCGGGGGTGGGGCTGCCCGTGTGTGGAGCGGTGACGGGGGCCGGGGGTCGCCAGTCCCCGGTACGGGGTGGGGCTGCGGGGGTGGGGAGCGGTGATGGGGGCCGGGGGTCGCCAGTCCCCGGTCTGGTGGTTGGTCACCCCTGGGCCGGGGATCCGAAGGCGGGGGCAGGGACCCTGGTTTCCCCAAGGGGATCCCCGCATGACAACCCAGGCCTCCAGAGAACAATCCGGCTGACCCTCCCCTCTCCCTTGAAGATGGTCATGCAGCATCCCTTGCCTGTGTAGGCTCACTGGTTGCGCTTGCTAGGGGCTATCCCTTCGTCCCTTCCATCCCTCACCTGGTGTTAGGCCCAACCCCAGTGGAATATCAGCGGCCTGATATAGGTAGGTAGTTGGAAGAATATAGAGTAATTTTTCGAAAAGGGGTTGTTGTGGTAACATAACAGTTTACAAAAGACACGCACACACACACACACATATCTCCCATCCTCTCTCTAATCTCTCACCTCCCGTCCTCTCATCTCTTCTGCCATCTCCCAGCCTCTCCCATCTCCCATCTCC